AGAGTTACTGGTAAAGATTTAAAATATGTGCTAGCTAGAATTATTGCAAAATATCAGGTAGTTAAAAGCCATGAACCATGTAAGTAATGCTTGGTTTCTTTCTCAGACATTGCCCTAATGGATGTGAAGGACAAGTGAACAGTGCAAAAGAATTTTAGTGATTCTGTGCTCGGAAAGTATAGCTTGTCTTAAAATCAAACAGTGACTCTGGAGCGCTTCCTGTTCCTGTTATGAGTCTTATGCCTTCCAATTCTGATCGAACACTTCAGCTGCTAATCAGTCCTACTTGTACTGCTTCTGCCTCTAGCATAAACATTGTGAAGTGTTATAAGTCACGCTGGTAATATTGGGCAGTTAGTGAGAGTGAAAAGAAGAATAAAATGAAGAACCAAGTATTTAGAGAGTTCTCTGGTCTCATCTGTGTTCAAAATGTATGGCAAAGGTTGTATCAATGTGTTAATAATATCAGAAATCTATCTTAAGACTATAAAGTAAAATAAAATTATTGTGAATGTAATTCTTATGTTGGAAAAGACATAAAAATTGGAACAACAAACTCACCTCTCAAAAGTTGCTGATTTTTTCTAAAGATGTAAACATATAAAAAATATATTTTAAAACACAGAATAGTTTGTAAAATGGATATAGTAACATATTCTTAGTAATTTTGAAAACAACTTATTAAGTCTTAAGTCTGCTTAACACCTAGAAAAATGCATGACATATGCTAGAAATGTAATTGGTTTACTGGCACTAGAGTCTATGAATCCAGCTATTTTTATGTATCCAAAAATCCACCAACTGTTGATGGAAGAAGGATAAGCAATCTCCTTCCCTGTAATTAACTGCCTTTGAAATCTGTCTGGAAGGTTAGCTATGAGCCAGTTTTAACTGAAAGGCAAATAGCAACATCATATCCTTCAGGGTGCTCTGATGGCCTAATGGTAAGGAACTGCACTGCTAACCCAGTTGCATGCAATTTGAATCCACAAGTTGTTCTGTAGGAGAAAGATGAACAATCTCCCTCCTTCTTTGTGATTTACTGCTTTAATGGTAAACCATAGCACATATATATCTATGTTGTTGTTGAGTCAAAACCAAACAATATCTGATCCACCAGTGGGTGTTAAGAGGTAGTAAATAGTATGGGAATTATTGAGGAGTACTGATGTCAGCTTGAAGACTAAGGTGTTTCTAAATCAGGCCATAGTCTTTCTGATTACTTGTTATGCATCTGAGAGCTGGACTATAAATAAAGATGGTAGGAACTGAGACCTTTGAGCTGTGGTGTTGGAGAAGAACACTGAACACCCCATAGATGGCCAAGAGAACAAACAGCTATATCTTAGAGATGATGCAGCCAGAGTGCTCTTTTGAGGCAAGATTGGTGAGGGTTCGCCTCACATACCGTGGACATGTTGCTAGGAGATGCTATTCCTTGGAAAAGGACATTATACTGGGGAGGATGGAAGGTCTGCAAAGGAGAAAAAGATCCTCAACTAATTGGATTGATATGGTGACTGTTGCAATCCACTCAGGAAGTGTGAGGACTGTTATGAGCAGTTTAAGAAAATATGCTATACACTAGAAATAGCAAGAACTATGTTAAGAATTTACTATGTTACATGTTAGAAATAAGAATAAGAAAGGCGTAGTAATTTGCTATGTTGGATGTTAGAAAATATGTTAAGAATATTTGTGAAAAAATATACTAAACAATTTAACATGCCCAAACAGGCACATAGTAGCCATGAGTCCTCACTGGCCACAACATGTATAGACTCCTGATAAGGAGTTCTGACTTGTTACTGCCCTCGTTACTAAGGGAACACAACTGGTATAGAACATAACTGGTCAATCCATGTTCTTTTGTAACTAATTGATTGGTTATACAACTTGTTTTGAAACTAATATTTGATAAAACTCAAATTTTGGATGTTGTTATTTTTAATATTATTGGTTGAATACATTGAAAACCCATGTTTGAAATTAGCTTGTCTGAAGAATTGACTGAGATAAGTGATGACAGAGAAACAGAGTGCTAAATTTCACAATCATTGCCATTATTATAATCTGTATAATTACTGATGAAACTGAAAATGAGTACCATAATTTAATATGAGAAAGATTTACTTTTTATTTTTAATTCACTTACTTTGTTGCAGAGTCACTTTGTATCCATAGCAAAGATCAAATCAAATATTAAACTACGCACCAATAAAAATGAACTTCTAGAAATTTCCAATCAACTATCTTAATATATAATAGTGAAAGAAATAGTAACAGTTCCTTTGAATTATATTTCACCTTTATTCTTCAGTAAATTTCGGCTTATAATTGTAACATAAATAAAGATTTCCATTTTCCTGCCAGATTCCTTATCTTTAATTAACATGTTTTATTGGAAGGTTTTAATCCTAAATTATGTAGATTTCTGAGAAAATAAGTTTTAGGGGTTTCCATTCACAGCTTGTGCTAACCTGATAAAGTTGTAAAAGAGACATTTATCAGAACAGGTCTCCAGTGGAGGAAGAAAGAAAACCAGAAAAACAGAAAGTGCACTTTGGATTTTTCATCCTTCTTCAGTCAAAATCACATCAAAATGACATATTCAAATAACATTTAAATGAGTCAGAGAATTTCTCCTGTTGTTTGCTGCTGCTGAGTTAGTCAGGACTCATGCTGATCTCAAACATAGGAAATGGAATGCTGCCCAACGCTAGTCCAGTTTCATAATGACTTGGGGATCAGACTGTTGTGATCTATCCTGTTTATATAGACTGGCTTAGAACAGGATGGCACACCACTAAAATGGAAAAGAGGACTAGAAGAAATTAAACACTACTCTGTAAACCCAAGTCCATAGCTTTGACATGCATGTCTCTAGTTTATTCTGCCATAAGCAATCATATTTTTTTTGTTAATTCCTAACATTTTTTAATATGTGATTATAGGAATAGGCCATTCTACTATTCCAGCTTCTATTTGTGATTGTTATGGCCTACTGGCAAGGTATTTTGCCACCAACCCAAAGGCATGCTCTTTGAATGCAAAAGCTACTCCACAGGTGAAAGACAATCTCTCCTCATGAGATTTAGTACCTATGGAAAAGCCCTGGAGGGTCAAATATGAGTTGTTTCTGACACAACTGCACATAATAACAATTATAGTAAATGAATTCCGGTGGCCTAGTGGGTAAGAAGTTGTACTGCCTACCTAAAGGCAAGCAGTTTGATACACCAGCTGCTCCAAGGGAGAAAGTTGGGCAATATTCTCCTGTGCAATTAACAACCTTTACAATTCTACTGAAGGTTTAGCCATAAGTTGGTTCAGACTCTAAGACAATGAGTAGTTTGTTTTATTGCATGGGAAAAGAGCGCTGACTGCACAGTATTCAACATGTTTGCCTGTCAATTATCTCAGAATTCGCCTAGCATTTTGCAGAGGGGAAATGCTAAATAAAAGATTAGCAGAGGATTGAGGATGGGGTGGCTGGGGGCTGGTGCAGGTGTTAATCATAGGTTTGCACAAATTGATGTGTGGAGTGAGTGGTGGGTAAAGTTTTCTGCCACCCACCCCCCTTGTCAGTCCTGTTTCATAATAGTGATGTTATGTAGTATTTGTCCTTTAGTAACTGAGATATTTCACTCAACATAATGTGCTCCAGGGTCACTCATGTTGTATAATGTTTTATAAGTTCCTTGTTTTGCAGTGTTGCATAGAATTACATTGCATGACAATATCATAGTTTTTCTTTTTCTTTTTTAATTTTATTATTTTTTGTGTGTGTACCGTCAAATCAAATCTGACTGGTACAGGAGGAGATTGTCCCTCCTTCCTCGGCAGAGCATCTGGTGGATTTGATCCCTGCACCTCTGGGATTGCAGTGCAGCTTCTTGCTACTAGGCCACCAGAACTCCCCTCATAGTTTTTCTATCCATCCATTTGTTGAAGACTACTTGGGTTGCTTCTATATCTTTGCTGTTATAAAACACTCAGCAGTAAACAAGGATGTTTATATATCTGTTTGGATGGCAGCTATGGTTTCTAAAAATATATTCCTAGTAGTGTAATTGCTCAATCCAATGATATTTCTATTTCCAACTTTTTGAGAAAGTGTCATACCAACTCCCATAGTGGTTGTGCCATTTTACACTCCTATCAGCAGTGAATAAGGGTTCCAATCTCCATATAACCTCGGAAAAAATATTTGGAAGTGACATATCTGATAAGGGATTCATATCTAATTACACTCAGTTCCTCAACAAGAAAAAGACAAACCACCAATTTGCAAAATGGGTACAGGATATTAATAGACCAAAGAAGACATTCAGGTAGAAAACAAATGAAATATTAAAAATTCCTAGCTATCAGAGTAATGCATATAAAACTAAAATAACCAGGAGATATCTCATCCCAGTAACAATAGTAAAGTTCAACAGAGCAATAAACAACAAATGCCAGAAAAGTTGTGTAAATCCACCTTGCTGAGGGTCTTGCTCTCTGCCTCTGAACTTCTACCTTTCCCAGGGTGATGTCTTTTCCAAGAATTGGCCCCTCTTGACAACCTGGCCACAGTGTGTGAGACATAGTTTTACCCCTCTTATCTATACATAGAGTTGGTGGTGAACTTCTATCAAGAAAGATTTGTAGGTGTAGATTCAAACTCAAATTTCAACCATAGTTAATGAGTAATAAATACTGCAAATTAAAATCAATATAAAATGATAGTGAAAAAACAAACTTACAAACACACTGGTTAATTTATGTTTTTAAATTACTCTAGAGTACTGAATTTCTAAATACAATATTTACTATAACAACAATGTATTCTTTCTATAAATTATACAGGTAAAGTCACATCAACTGTAAGAGTCTGTAATAATTTTAAACCCAACTAATTTTAAAACAAAAAGCTTGTTCAATGCCAGGATAGTCATTCTTTTAACCTCTGATACTGTAGCACATAACTATCGCATTAGAATATTGAATCCACTTACCATTGTGTAGCTATGGGCCACTTTCATTAATTCAATGCATCCTTGAGCATCTGCAAAGGCTCGGATTCCTAAACAGTTAGAAGGATGTAAAAGCTTCATGAGAAAGTGGCAGCATACTTCTACTACTTGAGGAAGCTGAAGAAGGCACGCTGCAGCAAGGAGATTTTCAATGGTGTCTTCCTTTAACTCTAAGCAACCTAAGCAGAAATAAAAGTAACGATCAAATTCTACTTAAAGTGCAAATTAAAGTGGAAATATATCAATGTAGTAATCAAAGCATTAAGACTACTCTAAAAATCTGTTTGGTCTAGATAGATGATTAAGATAAATATAGCACTATAGGCCAGACACTTTTTAAAGTATTTTTCAATTTCTTCCTTCATGCAATAATATTCAAACATATCTGGTACACATGAAAGCAGTTAATATTATAGTATAATGCTCTTTTCAGAAAGGATTCTACACTTAAGTGCTGGGTTGCTAACTTAAAGGTTGGTGATTCTACCTCACCAGCTTCTATAGGAGGAAAATTTGACAGTCGGATTGGCTTAAATTCTTAAAAACCCCATGGAACTCTATGTTGTACTCTACAAAGTGTCTATGATTTGGAATCAATTCAGTGGTAAGCAACAAGAACATTCATTTTGGTAGCAGTTACTGTTACTGTTTCAGTTACGAATTAAAGGGGAAAGAAGAGAGAGAGAGAAGGGGCAAGTTCAGAACATATTTATAAGCTTAGCAAAGCAGAGATCCACAAAGTTGCTCACAAAGCATGTATGTGGGTAAAGAAAATGTAACCTACAGTGTGAATAATTAATATATATTCATGACCCAACTGACTGCCACAAGCTGATTCAAATTTATGGTGAAGACACTTTGTAGTTGTTAGTTGTCTTCTTTTAAAATGAAACACTACAATTTGACAGAAAATTTACTATTTGTATTTTTTTAAAGAATTATAAATTCCCATTGGATATTTTCATACTATTATACATCCTGAATAATATATATATATAAAATTAGTTACAGAAACTGTTCTATGGACTGAAGCCATTTTAATGACATTTTCTAGGTACCAAGTTGCTAATAATATCAAATATTAAATTGCAGAATAGCGTACTCCAAAATAATTGATTTTGATATCTCAATATCAAAATCAATTATTTTGGAGTATATTTACTTGATAAAATGATTTATGATATATATGCTCTAGTGGTCTTTTCCGGAAGGACAACTGCTAACTGCTAACCAGGTACATGGCTCTCTGGCACTTTGAAGCCACCAGTAGCTCAGCGGGAGAAAGACTGGCAATCTCCTGCCATGTAATTTGCAGCTTCAGAAATCTAATGGAGGGTCAGCTTCAAATTTCTTCCAACTCCCTGGCAACTGGTTTGAGTTTTAGGAATTTTCTTTTTCTTGAGATGGTAAAAGTTTTTCTTGAATGGTAAAAGTTTTCCTATATTGCAACTATTTGCTACTTCATTAGGAAAATGAAACAGATTTGTATTATTTCTAATAGTCAGGTTGGGAAGCTATGTTTCTTAAACTAGGGTTTTATCAAAACATAGAATTCATTGGAGAAATACATTGTCAATGATCTTTTTGAAGTGCTAAAGAGTAAGGCTGACATTTTAAAGAGTGAGGTGAGCCTGATCCAAGCCACAGCCTTTTCAATTGATTCCTATGGCAGTTGTACAATGAATAAGAAAGACCAAATGAAAACTGAAATTTTAGAATTGTATTGAAGAATAGTATTTAATATATTCTCAACTATCAAAAGAACAAACCTATCTTGGAGGAAGTGCAAATATTATGCTTCTTAGAGAAAAGAATGGCGAAACTTCACATCACATAATCTGAGCATGTTGTTAGGATGAGCCAGTCATTAGAAAAAGACATCTTGCTGAGAAAAGCAAAGAGACAGTGAACATGAGGAAAATAAATCCAATAGACAGACTGGCGTAACAACTTCAAAAATGAGGTTAAGCGTGACATAGATGTTGAGGATTGTGAGGAAAAGGTTTAGAAATTGTTTAAAGGGTCTCTAAGTTGTGGTTGACTTAATGACAACTAACAACAACAAAAGAGTTAAACTTTTATCTATTGTTTCCTCATAATCAAAATTATCTTGAGAGTTGAATGGCAGTCTGTTTTATATTGATTTCTTAGCAAGATTGATTTTGAGTTAAAAAAAATAAAATAAAAATCCTCACCACCAGACCTATACGAAACATCATGATGTAGATGAAGAAGTGATTGAGACCATCAATGATTTCACCTTACTTAGATCAATGGTCAACACACTTGGTTCTAACAGTCATATCAGAAAATATATTGCACTGGAAAAGCAGAGACCTTCCTAAAATATTGAAGAACTAAGATGTCAGTTTTAGGACTAAGGCACACTTAATTCAGACCATAGTCTTTTCGATTACTTGCTATGCATCTGAGACCTGGGCAATGTTGGGATTACAGAAGAATTTATGTCTTTGAAATGTGGTGTTGAAGAAGAATTCTTAATATCCCATGGACTGCCAGAAAAACAGTTATGCCTTGGAGAAGGTGCAGCCAGAATGCTCTTTGGAGGCAAAGATGACAAAGCTTCATCTCACACACTTTGAGTATGTTGCTAGGAGTCATTTCTTGGAATGAAACGGCATACTTGGAAAAGTGGAGAGACGGTGAAAAAGAAGACCCTCAACTAGGTAGATTGATACCGTGACTATAGTAAAGGGCTTGAATGTGTCAGAGATGGTGAATATGCCTGAGGATAGGACAAGGTTCAATTCTTTTGTTCATAGGCTTGTTATGAGTTATATTCAACTTGATGACACCTATCAACAATTCACAACAGGATTAGAAAATGTACATGGCTGATAAAAAGAAAATGAGGAATAAAAAAGTTACACATACGCACACATATGTAAGAGAACTATACTCCTTAGGTTTCCAAGTCTGTGACTTTTGAAACCAGATCTCTAAACTTTTCATCTGTATCACCTCCAGGGTTAACAATATTATTGCTAACAATAATATGATACGTTGACTATAAATAATATATTCCATTATTAAACTTATAGGTTAAAGGAATATATTTAGACAAAGTCACTATTTCTAGTCATTAAATAATTCTTTCTTTCTAAAAGATAAGTAAATAGAATCAGTCATGAAAAGAAAACTGTGGTATAGACCACAAATATAGAAAGTTAATGCTGCCAGAAGGCACCAGTCCTTGGAGAAAGACATTATGCTTGGAAGGGTGGAGTGTCAGCATAGGAGTGGAAGACCATGGATGAGATGGATTGACAAAATAAGTCAGGTAAAGGGGGTAGGTGTGTCAGAGACACTGAAATTTACTTAGAATAACACAGGGTTCAGAGATACTGTTCATAGATTCTCTATGAATCGTAGTCAAAAGGACATAACGGCAACAACAGTGGAAGATTTAAACACAGAATCAATCTTGAAGGTTTGACAGGTGAAAAGGAAGAAAGAAAGCAAAAATAAATACAAAAATAAAAATAAACTGGAATTAGAAAATATTGTATTTTAAAGAAGTTAAATAAATTACAATTATGGGCCCTTATGTTTCTGATCTGAAACCCAGTGGATTTTTAAAGGAATCAGCCAAGTAGATAGAAATGGAAAATCTGTAACCTTAGCTGCGGCAAGTAATACTGCCTTTTACAGCAATGAACTTCTACTACACCTTAATACATATTGAACACACATAAATTAGGAAATATGTTTTCATGTGGCTTAAAATCCTATAAGAAACTCTTTATTGTTATGTGAGCTCTATAGGTAGAGAATTTTCTGTTCAGGTATTATATTTTCACTTATTAAAATGTGTTTACAGTATATTTAAAAAAAAAAACAACTGTCACATTCTTCAGGCCTAGAGAAAAGGTCAGTTAAACAAGCAGTAATGAAAGTTTGGTGTCCATTTTGTTATATTTGCAATGATGAAAGTTGTATGGCAGTAAAGTCATTAACTTCAGAGAAATTTAGTTGTTATTGGTAGATAATAAAAAGGCATGTAATTCTCTCAAGTCTCTTCCAACACTTTAAAGTTATTAATTTGCTAATTAAGTAATTTAAAAATAAACACATGGGGGAAATAGACAAAATTCCTATTTATCAGAAATGTAAATGGGAGCTACCATTTACACTACATCTAGCTCTTCATGGCAAGAAGCTGTGCTGCAATCCTGAATGCACACGGTTGGAGGCCACCAACTGCTCTGCAGGAGAAGGATGGGCAGTTTTCTTCCTTCTGCTTAACTGTCTCTGAAAATTCACTGGAGGGTCAGTTATGGGTCTGTTCTGGCTCGACCATACATGACGACATAGGATTATTTATTTCCCCTGACAGAGAGAAAAAAGTTGTGTAAGGATATTTAATATCCTCAATTTGTAATGAAAATAAAATGGAAATTTTGCAGTCTAGAATGCTGACGAATGATATCTCAGTCTCGTATACAAGATTAACATAAACAGTAATAAACCCTGAAGGGAATATGGGCTGTTGACATGATGTGAAGGAATGACGCATTATCTCTGTGGCCTTCTTTCCCAAAATGCAATCTCAATTTAGTTGTGAGAAAAAACTAAAACCAAACACAAAACAACAAGCGTTAAATAATTACCAATGGAAGGATATGATAAAATATTCTTGGCAAATACTCTTCAAAATTTATCAATTATGTTATAAAATGAAGAACCAGAAAATTTCATAGCCAGAGAGAGCTTAAAGAGTCATAATAAATAAGTAAAAAAAAGTCCTTTTTCAAAGTTATCAAAGTCATAAGAAAATAAATAATGTACTGGAATTTTTCATAATGAAAAAGAACCTAGGGAGACTTAATAACTAATTAAAAAGTGATATTCTGGGTGGTATCATGTGGTTTCCTTAGAGAACAAGATAGGAACAATAAGAAAAAACTAAGAAAATCTTAATTATAGACATGTTAGTAAAAACCTGAAACATGAGTTCATTATTTTTTAATAGAATTTAGGCCTTCTGTTTAAAAATCCATTAGCGTAGGCTGCATGGTAATGTAGACCAGTTGCAAAGTCATCTACTGGAGAGAGAGCTGCGTTGGCCTAGTGGACAGAAAGTTATGCTACCAAACCCAAGGTAGGTGATTTTAATCTGCGGCCCTCAGGCCTGGTTTAAATTGTTTTTTGTCAAACA